TACTGCAGCTTACGACCCTTCACGATGTTGACCAAATCCGCAGTTGTGTTCATTCTCCGCAGTACTTCTTCATTGGTGACTTTGTCTGTCCATGGTATCTTCAAGATCCTTCTGTATCTGTATCCTTTCTGAAGTTTTAATAGAGTTTCCGCCTTTAATATCCACGTTTCTACTCCGTACAGAAGCACTGAGTACACATAACATTTAAGGAGCCTTATTTTTGTTTCTAGGGTGATGTCATGGCCCTTGAACACAGAAATCATAGTCAAGAATGCACTCTTTGCCTTTCTGATGCGACATTTAATCTCTTGGGTATTGTCCCATTTCTCATTGATTATAGTTCCCAAGTAATTGTATTGTGAGACTCGTTCAATTCTCATTTGGTTCACATACAGATTTTGATTCAACGCAAAAATAGGGGTAAAAGAAGCAGATCTAGAAACATCTTTAGGAGAACTCGGTTCCCCAGGAAGAAATGATCGAGGAGAAAAGCTACTAGGATTCCTACTCCAGAATAACTTATTCAACATGAACAGCTTCTTTCACAAAAAGATGCACAGAAGATGGACTTTTGAAAGTCCAAACGGTAGAACAAGGAACGAAATCGACTACATCATAAGTGATCAAAAACAAATAATTAAAGATGTAACAGTACTCAACAAGTTCACCACAAACAGCGACCACAGGATGATACGAGCAAAAGTTCAAATCAATATAAAAAGAGAAAGGAATACAATGATTAAAAATAAATTTCATGGTATCTGGACACCCCCATTATATATCAACCAATATCAGACATATATCAATAATAAGCTTCTATTGCAGGAAACCTCCGCTAACGATATTAACGACTTGAATAACTGCACCATAAACGCCTTACAAGAAAGTCACCGAGTGCACTGTCCTAAAAGAAAATCAGATAGTAAAATAAGTCCATATACTGAAACGCTCTTGGATCAAAGAAGACAAATGAGAAACGATAAGAATGTAGATAGCAACACTTTAAGAAAAATGAACAAAACTGTTTCGAAAGCAATTAGGAGAGATTTAAGGAAATTTAATACTGATTATATTAAACGCACTATAGAGGAAAATAACAGCCTAAAAGTTCTACGTAGAAAGCTAACGAATGGGAAATGCGAAACTCATAAATTAAGAAACAAGCAAAATGAAATAATATCACGTAGAGACGAGTTAATACAGGTCGTCGAAGAGTTTTACGAGGACTTATATAGAAGTAGACGAGAAGATAAAACAGGAATACAAACAGCCATTTCAAAGAAGATCAAGAATCAAGGTTCCGAACTAATGCCAGAGATAAAGCTAGATGAGATTCGACAAGCATTAAGAAAAATGAAAAATAACAAAGCCCCAGGAGAGGATGGAATCGTAATAGAAGCTATCGTAAATAGAGGAGATATGCTATTAAATAAATTAAAGAAACTATTTAATCTATGTTTGCAGCAAAGAGAGGTGCCCAAAGAGTGGAACAATGCTACAACCATCCTTTTGCATAAAAAAGGAGATAGAACGGACCTAGGAAATTATAGACCTATTAGCCTGTTGAACCACATATACAAGCTCTTCACTAGGGTAGTGACATCAAGATAGGAGAAAAAATTAGATTTCTACCAACCGAGAGAGCAGGCAGGATTCCGCTCAAACTATGGTACCAATGATCACCTCCACACAGTAAAGACACTCATTGAAAAATTTATAGAATATAACAAACCTCTTGTTCTCACTTTCATAGATTTTCATAAAGCGTTCGACACGATCGAATTAGACAGCCTTATAGAAGCAATGAATGACAGCAGGATTGACCATAGGTATAGTGAGCTTATTTATAATATTTACAAAAATGCCACTATGACTGTTAAGATAGACAATAAAACCCGACCAATAAAAATAAATCGTGGAATAAGGCAAGGAGATACATTGTCGCCGAAATTATTCAAAACGGCATTAGAATATGCCTTTAAGATGATCAATTGGGACCACAGAATAGTAACGATAGACGGCGAAAAGCTTAACCATGTCCGTTTCGCAGATGACATTGTCCTTATCACAGATAATTTAGGAGAAGCTACAGATATGTTAAACGAATTGGATTTTGCATGTTCGAAGGTGGGCCTGAGAATGAACTTGACCAAAACTAAGTTTATGACAAATTTGGTCCCCAATAACCATTTGGCAATTCAAGACAAAGTGGTAGAACTGGTGGAGAAATATACGTATATGGGTCATGAAATAAGAATCAGCAGGGATAACCAAACATGTGAGATCCAAAGACGAATTACTTTAACATGGGTAGCCTTTGGAAAACTGCAAGACACACTTAGGGCCAACATACCAATTAGCCTCAAAAGAAAAGTGTTTGACCAATGCGTATTACCGGTCATGACCTATGGGGCGGAAACTATGACTTTAACCAAGACCACGGCTTCGAAACTGAGAGTGGCACAGAGACGAATGGAACGGTCTATGCTGGGAGTGACGTTGAGGGACCGAATAAGAAACGAAGATCTGCGAAGAAGGACGAGTATTACTGATGTTGTGGAACACATAGCGGAACTAAAATGGAACTGGGCAGGCCATGTAGTGAGAATGCACGATTCACGATGGACGAGCAAAATTACAAATTGGAGACCAAGAGCAGACAAACGCAGTAGAGGAAGACCACCTACAAGTTGGGCCGACGACATCAGGCGTATCACTAAAAATTGGCAACAAAGAGCACAAAATCGTGAAGAATGGAGGAGTTTAAGGGAGGCCTATGTCCAGCAGTGGACGTGATAAATAGAGGCTGGATGATGATGATGATGACGACAGATTTGCTCACGTTATGTTTTCCTTGCTGATGATCATTCTTGCTTGGTTTTGCTGGTGTTTATGTCCAGTCCGTATTTTCTACTTGTTTCCGTTATTTTGTTCATTAAGTTTTGCAGCCCTTCTCTAATATTGGAAAACACTATTGTATCATCTGCATACTGTAGGTTATTGAGCTTGACTCCATTTATTGAGATACCTTTATCAAAATCTTTTAGAGCCTCTTCAAAAATGTGCTCCGAGTACAGATCAAATATCAGTGGTGAAATTATTGTTGTCTACTAATCACCATTAATTTAGTCTTGGAAAGTATAATTCCCGAACTGTTCACCAGTTTCATTAATTTTGTTTAAAATTGATTAATGATCTTTAATGTTATTAGTGACTAATAACCTATTATTGTGACAAAAAGGTTCTGAATCTACTTTCTTGTGGCATATCTAATTGAAATATAATATTTATACAGTATGATGCAAATGGATGGAATAAATTTATTATTTCAGAAACAGACTACTTAAAAAAAAACAAAACCCGTTAATTTTAATTTTTGAATGGCCATCAACTGCTATATATGTGTTGCACATTACGTCATCAGTGTCGGCGTAATGACGTAATCGACGATTTTTTTTAAATACAAACCGAGGTCACGCGACAGCTCATTTGAAAGGTCTCCTTACCGTCTTTACATGCCTTCTTCTTCTTAACATGCCATACACCAAAGTGCGTAGGCGACTATCTCATTCCTAGAATTCTGTTCTTGGCGGCGTGAGACAGCTCACCTGTATTGTGTATTCCTGTCCATTCTTTAATATTCCTTAACCAGGATAATTGTTTGCGGCCGGCTCCTCTCCTACCTTCGATCTTCCCTTGTAGGATTAACTGTGGTATTTCATATTTTGCTCCTCTCAATATGTGCCCAAGGTAACCAATCTTGCGTTTTTTAATTAATTCAAAGAGTTCTCTTTCCACGCCAGCTCTATTAAGGACGTCATCGTTTCGAACTCTATCCACCCAAGGTATGCGCATCATTCTTCTCAATGACCACATTTCAAATGCTTCAAGTTTGTTGACAGATTTTTCTTTTTTTGAAGTCCACGTTTCCATGCTATAAAGCAAGATGGACCATATGTAGCACTTGACCATTCTGTAGCGTATTTCGAAGTTTAGGTGTTGATAACATAGGAGCGGTCTGAATTTCACAAAAGCTTGTCTTGCCATTTGTATTCGGGTTTTTATCTCGTGTTGTGGATCCGATTGGTCATTGATTGTGGTGCCAAGGTATTTAAAAGTTTTCACGCGATTTATACGATTGTCACCTATGCATATTATCGGATTGTCTGGAGGGTTTCTGCTAATGACCATATATTTCGTTTTCAAAATGTTGATTTTGAGGCCATATTTTTTACCTATGCTATTCACCCTATCAAGTAATAATTGCCGATCTTCCAAATTATCAGTTATAATCACTGTGTCGTCCGCGTAGCGTAGGTTGCTAATTGGTATGCCGTTCACCTTAATGCCTAATTCCGTATCTTCTGATGCTTCCGCAAATATATTTTCAACATATAAATTAAAAAGCATCAGAGAGAGTATGCAGCCTTGGCGGATACCTTTCCGGATTTCAAATTCATTCGTATATTGGTCTTGATCAATCCTCACCTTTGCCATTTGGTTCCAGTATAGATTCTGAATAATTCTGATCTCCTTCTGGTCATTGTTGGCCCTATGTAGTAGTTCCATCATGATATCATGTTTAACATTGTCAAATACCTTCTCGTAGTCAATGAAGGTGAGGTAGACATCTTTTCGTTGATCTAAGCAGTTTTGTATTAAGGTGTTCAAACTTAAAATTGCCTCTCTTGTTCCTAGTCCTCCCTTAAACCGAATTGTGTTGACCCGCTAAGTTCTTCTAGTATCTTGGGATAAAGGATATAGGATATAGGATATATATATATATATATATATATATATATATATATATATATATATATATATATATATATATATATATATATAGGATTGGGGTATAGGATATTACACTCAAGAATGTATAAGATACTAGAAGAACTTTATATGCCATAGATAATAAAATATTAAATCCATATTTAAAGTCTCATTTTATACACTATCCTGGTCACTATTTATATGTTTGTTAATTTTTACTTTTCTAGTTCGAGGAATAACCAACATGCTGTACATTGCTTACAAAAAACTTCATATATGAAAAATTATTTTACTTTCAACATGAATATTGCTTGCAAAAACATGAACGCACCACTAGTGGTTTTAATACTTAGTTTTGACTGGGGAATGTGTGATATCACATCGAATAACATAAGCCCTATACAATTTATAGGTAAGTATACTTTTTGAAATTGGGTTTTTTAAAATTGTTATATTTATTATTATTATGTAGAATTTCTAAAATAAATATTACACTTCCTGCAAATTTCAAAATATACCACAGCATGACCGCGATTTTTCCAATGTAGGGGAAAATTATCGCTCTTATTGTACCGGGTGGTCCAATCAGCCGATTTCTCGGCTATATATCAGAAACTATTCATGTTATAACTTTAGGAGAAAAAATTTCTTGGTAAAAGTGGCCAAGAGAAATCGCTGGAAATAACTTTCAAATTTCTGGGTTAACCGCTAGGGGGCGTAACCTGTGAAGAAAACTTTGAAAACCAGTTTTTTTTAGAAATGTGCACAATTATACCAAGTGTTAAATAAGTAAATTAGAAAGAGGCCTTAATTCTTCACAAAGTTGTTCAAGTACTTTTTTTTATTTTTTCAAATAAGGGGTGGGGGAGAGTGGGGAAATATTTGTGGATAAATACCTATAACTTTGGATTGGATTACTATAAAATAATTGCATTTAGTTTTAATTGTCATAGGTAGAGGGTTACTTTCGAATAGAAAAAATTAAAATTCGTTTTTCTTCAAAATGTTTAATGGAAACACCTATTTATTGTAAACTATAATGGAACTGGATTAAATTCGTAACAAAATGGCGCAAACCGCATGTTAATAGCTTTTGTCGAACTCGAGATATGAATAAAAATGCATAAATATAAGTAAGTATAGTATTGACTCACCCTGTATTATAAATTAAATTAAAAAATAAGTCAGTAGGTACTTTCAAATTTTTTTATAGCAAAGGAATCTTAATGTTGATATCTATTTTGACCATTGTTATTTTATATGATTAAAAATAGTTTTTTCGAAAGTGTTATATTATAATCCGAATTGAAGATTGCACTTTTTTCAATAGATATTAATATTGGTAATATTAGTAATTAATTATGAGTACTAATAATCCGTGATGAGTATATCACATGTAGAATTGTATGATATGATTGGAGTTTATTTCGAATGTCACCAAAATGCCGCTATTGCCTCACGTATATATTCTGTAAGATATCCTGATAGGAGACATTATGGCAAAGAAGTATTTGAAAGAAAGGTAAGAAGATTAAGGGAAACTGGTAGTTTTCATCGTCCTTGTTTTAAACGATGTAGTAGAGGTATGACCGAAGATAATTCAATCAATGTTCTTGCTTTAATTCAACAGAATCCACATATAAGTAGTCGGTAAATCTCTATAGAATTAAACATACTCAAAACTACTGTTCTGAGGATTTTAAAACATCACAGGTTGGTTTTTCATATTATAAAGTGAACGTTTATGTTAGAAACTTGGAATTCCCTTAAAACTTTAGATTAAACTGTTATTTTAATATTCCGATAAAAACGGCAACACGGCGCTTTTATCCTTTTATCCGTTTCTTAAAAATACTTATGCACGATTTATCTTCTGAAACAATTGTAGATTTTTCAAGATTTTTGAGTTTTAGTAAATATAGTGGTTTCTTTTTCACCAATATTTGTTGTTCTGCTTTTTTAGACTGCATCCTTATCATGTAGTTCTCCACCAAGCTTTATATGAGAGAGATTTTGATGCAAGGCTGGATTACTGCAATTGGATGTCCTGCGCACTTTTGATTACTTGTATTATTTGTATGCAACTTATCCAAATAAATGGATTGGAAGGGGAATCTCCAGACTTAACATATCTGGACTTTTATCTGTGGGGAAGATTGAAGGACTTAGTGTACCAAACTTGACCAACCACGCGAGTCGAGATGAGACAGCGCATTATAAATACAATAAATAGTATATCAACAGCTGAGATTGAAGCAGTTGTTATGTCTACGCTCGCAAGATTACATATTTATGTGGACAATGATGGAAAACAATTTGAACATTTAATATTACATTAATTGGACATTAATTTTACATTAATTTTCAGTTATAATAAAGGGTGAGCCGATACTATACTTATTTATGTTTATGCCTTTTTATTCATATCTCGAGCTCTACAAAAGCTATCAACATACGGTTTGCCCCTTTTTGTTACGACTTTAATCCAGTTCCATTATAATTTACAATAAATAGGTGTTTCCATTAAACATTTTGAAGAAAAATAAATTTTAATTTTTTCTATTCAAAAGTACCCTCTACCCATGACAATTAAAACTAAATTCAATTGTTTTTTAGTAGATATAAATTAAATCATCCATACTCTTTCTAATGATACTAATTTCGTTAAAATCGGTTGATCCAAATTAAAGTTATAGATATTTATCCACAAATACTTTCCCACTCTCCACCACCCTTTATTTGAAAAAATAAAAAAAGTACCAGAACAACTTTGTGCGGAATTCAGGCCTCTTTCTAGTTTACTTATTTATCACTTGGCATAATTGGGCATATTTCACAAAAAACTGGTTTTCAAATTTTTATTTACAGGTTACGCCCCCTAGCGGTTAACCCAGAAACTTGAAAGTTATTTCCAGCGATTTTTTTTGACCACTTTTACTAAGGAATTTTGTCTCCTAAAGTTATGAACATGAATAGTTTCTGATATATAGCCGAGAGATCGGATTATTGGACCACCCGGTACATGGTCATAGAAAAAAAAAATATATATATATAAATAGACCAGGCCAAAAAAAAAATATAACTAACCCAACCTAACCTAGACCAGGCCATTATTATATTGGATATTTAGTAACCCTTACACAAGGAATTCAATATGATCAATCTTGTCTATCTATCTTGTCTATAGATTTAAAATTTTTTTTTAAATAGGATTTTAAAGATAATCCTCCTTATCATTCATTAAATCTTTGCCAGGGCACCGTAATAACTATTGTTAGCTTGTCTTCATTGGCTACGATCCTGAGCCAGGTGGATGGCTTTATTACGAATTTTCCCACTAGAGTCTTCATTTGGTCTGCCCATTAAAAATAATAGGATAGTCTAAATCACGTTTAAGCTAATAGGGTTACTTTTATAACATGTATAGGATAGTTGTTTATCAGCAATATTTTAAAATATATCTATATATAAATCTCATTTGACTGAATGTGGACCATTTTATGTATTTTCAAAACATCTTAGCTTTAAGGAAAATCTGCAAATTAAAATAATATAGAAAACTAAGTACTTTAGAATAAAAAAAATCAGTGATGCCATTGCCATTTGTAATCTTTAGTTAAATTAGTTTTATTATAGTTTCGATCGAATGTTAATCCCTACAAAAATTGTGAAAGTATTTCATGAGAACAAACAGAAACACATACTACAGATGGGATAAGGTAGTTGATAATATTAATGCAGAAGGGGTGCATAAATGTTTTCTGCTTATTTGGTCAAAAAATTATTGGTTGCAGTTGTAAAAAAATATATAATATATATAATGGCTATACACCTCAGCGTGGGGTTAAACCGCAAATGCTTTCTAGATCCTATTTCTTAAGTGGATCAGTCTTTTTTTGTTTATCTTATCTTCTTGACAATATCTCTTTATTTTTTCCTGTCTCTAGTTCTTCCTCTCCATTCACTGACTCCTGTCCTTTGGAGGTCTTCTTCAACTTCTTGCAGCCACTTTGATCTCGGTCTTCCCCTTCTCTTTCTTCCTCCTGGATTCCATTCTATCATTGCGTATGTCACTGCCTCATCGCCTGCTCGCCAAATGTGACCTAACCATCTAACTCTGCATTGCTTTACTTTAGATACGATGTCTTCCTTAAGTTCTTCCTTAATTTCTGCATTTGTTCTGTTTCTATATTCATTTTTCTCTGTTCTGATTGGTCTTAGTATGGTTCTCATAATCTTTCTCTCTGCTCATCTTAAGTCTTCATCTTTTTTAACCATCGTCATTGTTTCCCCTGCATATAATAATATTGGTCTAATTATGGTGTTATAAATGCTCATCTTGCTTTTTTTAGTCAATGTTTTGCTTTTAAGTAATCTTTTGTTTGCAAAATAAGCTTTATTCGCTGCTAATATTTTTTCTTTTATTTCGGATTTCCTTTTTCCGGATTTACTTATTGTAACTCCTAGGTATTTGAAGTATTCTACTTCTTCAAACTCAGAACTTTCTATTTTGATTTTTTTCTTCATTGGTTTTTTCGCTAATCTTAATATTTTTGTCTTTTCTTGATTTAATCTTAACCCCATTACCTCCCCTTTCTCTCTTATTTCTTCAAGCATTTCTTTCATTATTTTTCTGTTCTTTGCAATAATAGCAATATCGTCTGCATATGCAATTATTTGACCACTTCTTGTTCTGAGATTTCCTTTATTTATATTTTGCAGTACATATTCTAATGCTAGATTAAATAGCGTTGCTGATAAGGCATCTCCTTGTTTCATCCCTTTATTTATACTGAATTCCTCTGTCTCTCCTCTTTGTGTCTTTATGCTTATTTTTGTAGTTCTCATTGTCATTTCTATTAATTTTCTGAGTTTATGTGGATTTTTTAATTTTTTAAGTGCTGTCATTAATACGTTCCTTTTAATTGAATCAAATGCCTGTTTGAAGTCTACGAATAACATTTCCAATTCTAATTTATACTCGTTTGCTTTTTCCATTATTTGTTTTATTGTGTGTATTGCATCTATTGTAGATCTTCCTTCTGTGAATCCACATTGGTACTGTCCTACAGTCTTCTTTGTGATATTTGATAACCTCTTTTTTATTATTGATGTCAATATTTTATATGTTGTATTTAGTAATGTTATTCCTCTATAATTTTCACAGATTTGTTGGTCTCCCTTTTTATGTACTGTTATGATCTGTCCTACCTCCCAGTCCCCTGACATTTTCTCTTCTTTCCATATATTTTTCAATAGTGCCAGTATTTTTCCTCTTAGTTCCCTTCCCCCGTATTTTATTAGTTCCATATTAATTCCATCTTTACCAGGGGCTTTTCCATTTTTTGCTTCTCTGTATTACTTCATCCAATTCCTCTAATGTTGGTTCTTTTGAAATTTCGATGTTTACTTCATTTGCTTTTTCTTCGTGTACTGTTTCCTCCTCGTTATGCATTTCTTCTTCTGTTGTTTCCTCCGTCAAGAGCTCTCTGTAGTAATCTCTCCATACTTGCTTGTATTCTTGGTCCTTTATTATCACTATTCCCTCTCTATTTTTTATTCCGTTTGTTTTGCCCTTGTATTTTTTGTTTTGTTCTTTAATCTTTTTGCAAAAACTTTTCGTATTCCTGTTTGTTCTTTCCTGCTCTATTTCCTGCATTTTTTTGTCTTTTTTGTAAAAAAATAACAAATCTTTAAAAGTGTTGACTTCATTTGGATCAACCAAAGTTTCTGAAATCAAATATATCAAAGTTTACATATTGTCAACAAATAATTGAAATATTGAAGCAGTCATCGTCACACAAGAACATGCCGTTCTATTTTTTAAATCTGGATGTGAATACAAAGTACGACTATAAAGACTTTTACACTTGGTGTAAATTAATGTTCTAAATTTAATAATGAGATCTGGTAAAAAATCTATTTATTATAGTTATATTAATAAAAATGAATCGCAGATCGAGTACACCAAATAAGATAATTCTTTTTTTGTTGTATTTGTTATTATTATCAGGAGAAGGTTTGTGTTAAAAACAATAGTAGATAGACAGTGCTAGTTCTGGAATTGAAGTGACCTGTTACTCTAGGCCACGGCCCTGGTGACGTACGAACGTCCCCGAGTCTTAAGGCTACGTTCTCGGCTAATGATGACGTAGGTACGCCCTTCGTGTCTCCACACCCCTTGGTCAATGGTATCATAGGAACACCTCTAAGTAAACGCCCGACCAATGGTACATAGGAACGTCCGCACTCGTGACGGTAGAACATATCCTTGACCAATGGTGGTATAGGAACGCCCCACTCGTAACTTTAGAACATATGCTTGACTAATGGTGGCATATTAGCGTTCCCTCGTGACGTTGGAACATATCCTCAACCAATGGTGATATAGAAATGTCTGCTTGTGACGTTAGAACATATCGTCGACCAATGGTGACACAGAAACGAACTCAAGTAAACGCCTGACAAATGGTGGCATAGAAACGTCTCCTCGTGACGTAAGAAAATATCCTCGACCAATGGTGATACAGAAATGCAATACTCGTGACGTTAGAACGTATCCTCCACCAATGGTGGCACAAAAACACTGTCATACACCTTTTTCGATTGAGAAATACGATGCAGATTCTAGTCCTACTCTCACAGATGCCACTTGATTCTTATAAAGGTTCTTATGATTTTAAGGTTATTCTAATCTATTGAACGTTCCTGTAGCAATCTTATCTTAAAATAGGATAAACTAGAATAAAATAAAATAAACTAAAATAAAAGAAAATTCTTTATTGACACCTCGACCTCGACCGGATTCATTTTATTACCCAAATATTTCTGTTACTTTACAGAATCGAAAGAGGAGCTTATTGAACTTTGACACATTTTTTTATTCTAAGGCGGTACGAAGTTCGCCAAGTCAGCTAGTATGGAAATCACGGTATTTTTTTCTGTATTCATATTACGAATGGCCATTAAGTTGTATATTTTTCGTCGAATATAAAACTCATAGAAAACTTGGTTGTAATTTTGAGATGAATCAATTCATGTAAATTTTATTGCATTTGAGTGACACTACATTTTTCATAAGATGTGTGCAATCTCTTTTATGGTGTCTTGTCAATGCGGAAAAAAATTTAAGAATTAGATGTTCATATGTAAAACGTTTTAATTTTTTAGACCTTAAACATGTTACAAGTCCAAATCATATAGTACAAAAAAGAAAAGTTCAACTGGATCTACGCAAACATGGCCCTACAACTGTTAAGGGACAGACGTGGTCAACCATAAAATTACATTGTGCTGTCCCAAACATAGGCGAGCACCAAAATGTTACAGTAAGTACAACGCAGCAAAATGGTAATTTACGTAAGAAGTTTCGAAAGTGATATTATAGATAGATAGATGTCATGTTTTGTATACATAGGAAATAACTGAGAAATAATACAAGAACACAAAATATAACATATACAGTGAAAAACAGAAATGTAAAAGTACAAAAAAAATAATTCAGTTAGGTGTAATATAGTTTTCATAAAAGAGACCACACTAGAAGCTCAAACAAATTCCTGTATACTACAGAAACAGTGTTTTAACAAGAAGTGTTTTGTTAATTTAAACAATGTTTAGAATTCATTGCCTTAATGTCAATATTTTTGTGTAGGTTTAAAAAACATTTATTCAGATTATAATATAATCTGTATAAATGTTTTATATAATTAAGTTGCGTAACACACAATCTGGAATATGGTATATAACTGTATATTTTTATAAAGTTAAATGTCGTCTATAAGTATAAAAAGTATATTAAAATATATAAAGTTAAAAACGCAACTGTCATTTATTCTTATATTTTTATATTCAAACTAAAGATAGCATGAAAATGTCAATATTTAATTTTGTTTTATAATCACTTGGTATTCAAATTATTGGTATAGTAAGTAATAAAAGACAGCGGCTTATAGATTTGTCACGTTTTGTCCAGGAATTAAGGGTTTCTATAAAAAAGTTTATGTCTCTAGGTAAAAATTTTTATTTTGACGGTCAGTTTCACTTGTTTACACTTTTGTTGTAAAATTGGAGGCGTAAACAACGTGTATTTCTAATTGTGATTAATTATTGTGCTTTGAAAATGCCGAAAATAAGCAATGTTTCAACTTGGATAAAACCTTACAAAGAACTATCTAAGAATAAGGATAAAGTTTATTGCTCATGTTGTGGCAAAACCGTAAGTACGTACCTACGAATTATTTTTATTTTATCTTAAAAATTTACACGGTGGTACAAAGAAAGATTTTAAAATTGGAGAATATGTTTAAGAAAAGAACCGACACAAGGCTAGTTCGCAATAAATCGATGTATTTTTTCTTTTTTCAAGCATTTTTTTATCACCTAGCGATAAAAAATAGGATACATATTTAAAATTCAAATCATTCAATAGTCTACTGAAAGGTTGCTAATATTTTTTTTCTAATAATAGCATAGTTTGCTTTAATTTTGCTAAAAATAAAATATTGGACTTAATTAATTTGTGTTAGCAAAAATTAAAAGTGCTCTTAATTTATGCTCACAGTATTTTTTCTTTAAATGTAAAGACCAAGAGCCAAGTAAATATTTGGGGGTTCTTTCTTCTAGCAAATAGTTTAATTGTTATGCAAAACTGTTAATTTTTAGTTTATTTCTATTATCTTAGATTTTAAAAATGGGTACAACTATAGAATATTTATATTATTTTTTAGTAAAAAAAATCAAATAGATCAGCATGTCAGAATCGCGATACATTTAGCTAAAAAAGTAAAAACCACATGCGGTGAAAAATATCAACCTTCAGTGTCCAAATGCTTTCAGTCAAGTTTCAAAAAACAAACCGAACAAGAAACTTTTAACGAACATTTGTGTCGTGCATTAGTATCTTCTAATATACCGTTTTCAAAATTATATAATGAAAACTTTAGTTCTTTTTTAAAAAATATTGCAAAGAAAAGATTCCCAGCGAACGAACTCTAAAGAGAAATAATGTAAATTTGTTATACTCTTCAGTTATCCACAACATAAAAGCCGAAATAGGTATTATTTATAATTACTTTTACATATGTGTGGACGAGACCACTGACTCGTCAGGACGATAGACTGTGCACTTATTGATTGGTGTACTTAGTGATAACCTTTCCAAAATCGTATTTATTTCCATCAAGCAAGTGAAAAAAACCAATGCTCTAACAATATCATGGTTTCTACAAGAAGCCTTAGCAAATTTTTTTCTTCCTATGCCTAATGATAAATTATTGCCTATTTTATCTGCGGCCGCACCATATATGCTAAAAGCAGGACAAAATTTAAAAATATTTTATCCAAACTTAATACATGTCACTTGTTTAGCGCATGGAAAAAACATAGTTGCGGAGGAAGTAAGAAAATAATTTCCACTGGTTAACAGTTTAATAGCGAGCTTCAAAAAGGTATTTCTGAAATCACCTGTAAGAATACAATGTTACAGAGATATGCTTCCTGCTGTTCCACTGCCACCGTAACCCGTTTTAACACGTTGGGGAACATGGTTGGAAGCAGCTAATTTCTATGCTGATCATTTTTTTGATTTAAAAAAAAATGATTAACCTTTTAACGATCAGAGTTGCCAATTGAATCTAAGCAAGCCTTTAGCTTTTAGCAAGCAATTAAAATCCTTCAAATTATCATTATTAGAGAGTACAGTTTCAATAAAAGAATTTGAGTCATTGTGTCAAAACGTTAAGGCCGGTCGTCCTTTGGATGCGTTTTCGTCGGAAATATTTTCGTCAGAAATCGGAGGAATAATTTCGTCAGATTTCGCATATGTGGTATCGTCCACTATAGACAAGTTTTCGCATTGTACGAAGTCAGTCATATGTAGTAATTTATCAAATAAGCATACTATAATAATTATTAATACTTAATATGGATCATATTCTTTTGGAAAATAGTTACCTTGTTAGACGGCGATTAAAATTAAAAAGAAAAAAATGTTGGGTTAATGACATATTAGCAAAACGAAAAGAATTCGGAGAATTTCATCATTTATATGATGATTTGAAAAAGGACGAGAAAAAGTTTTTTGATTACTATCGCATGAATCAGGATACATTTAACTATATTTTAGATGCCATAAGAGAACCAATTAAAAAAATGTCGAATTTCCGTGAGACCATTTCACCAGAAGAACGATTGAGTGTGACTCTAAGGTAAGTTATAATAAATACAGTAGTTGCAACATTTCCAATTTTATTATTAAAAAATACAAAGAAAAGAAATACATTGTTTTATGCGCTGAAGTGAGTAATATAGTTCTGAATGGATAACGGCTGTTGAGAGGAAACATCTTCTCTTCTTTCACTTGAATATTGTGAGACCACGGAAGATTCTGTATTTTGCAAAGATGAAGAATGATGTGGTGTTGATATTAAGTCATTACAATAGAATGACGCTCTGGAGGAATCGGTGTCTGTGTAAGACATTGGAGAAGGCAACGGTGTTGATGTAATTGTTTCATTGGAACGATATGATGCTCCGGGCGCGTGTCTTGTAGATAATTGCTCCTTATCAAGAAATACTTGCTGCAACTTACTTCTTATTAGCATTTGTCGATTTTGAGGTACAGCCTTTAAAAAGGGCAGGAGACTGAGTAGGAATTGGCGTTCACTGTCACTATCTTCTCTATTTTTATGTTGGCACAATATTTCCAATTTGGCTCTTTCTATTTCGAGGAACTTGTCGTCCATTGAATTTGCCTCGGAATTCCTAGCATATTTTAGACGACTGTTTGTGTTTTTCTTAGTTTGCATAGTTGTACTACTAGGTGTACTGAATGTACTTTTAACCTCATTACCAGATGTGGATGGCTGCTGTATATCTGTATTTACAATTTGCTGTGATGACTCTTGAATGGTTGATTGAGAGTATGCATTGTCTGCATCAGGCTCCAATGTCGATTCTGTTTCGGAATAAGAGTTGTTATTGTCTTCCTTTTGCGGAGATATATTTCCATGCAGTTTACGTCGTTCAACAGTTTTAGATAAAAACAACAGTATTTTATAATATGGCCATTTGGAGGTAACTACCGATTCTGCACCATCTCCAGATTTCTGTTTTTTCGACTTGTTGAATTCCTTCCGGAATGTGTCTCGCAGCCCCCTCCATTTATTTTTTAGTTCATCAACTGAAACAAAAAAAATCGTTACAAATTAATCACGTTTTTTTTTCATTTCAGGTATTTGGCAACGGGCTCCTCGTTTAAGACATTGGGGTATTCGTTTCGAATATCAGATGTCACGGTGGGTAGAATTGTTCACGAAACGTGTGATGCTATTTGGGACAAGTTGGGTACTGTACATATGCCATTTCCGAAAAATGAAGACATGGAATCTATATCTGAAGGATTTTGGAATAAGTGGAAATTTCCAAACTGTGTTGGATGCATAGATGGGAAACACATACGCATACAGAATCCAAAGCACTCTGGAAGTATGTATCGAAACTACAAGCAATACTTCTCAATTGTTTTACAAGCTGTGGCTGGACCAAACTACAAATTTATAGCAATTGATGTGGGAGCGTTCGGTAAAGAAAGTGATGGTGGTATTTTTTCGCATTCAAATCTTTGCCAAAAGCTTGAAAACGGAGGATTAGGTGTTACAAGACATTGTGCACTGCCGGGGAACAAATATTAAAGTACCTCATGTTCTTTTGGGAGATGAAGCTTATCCACTAAAAACTTATTTAATGAGACCTTTTCCAGTATCAAAATTAGGACCTTCAGAAATAATTTTTAATGAGCGTTTGTCTCGAGCAAGACAAGTTGTTGAATGTGCATTCGGAATTATGAGTAGCAAATGGAGATTATTACAAAAATCAATTGAAGTAAATCCCGAATCTGCCGATAAACTTATTAAATGCATATGCCTCTTGCATAACATTATAATTGATAAAGAAGGAGAGCAACAAGTAGCATGTACATTCGAGCAAATTCCTCATCAAACACATTCAAGAACGGGAAGATTTGGAACCTTGGGTGAAAACAGAGGCACCAGTTCAGCTTATGACATCAGGGATAAATTTAAAACTTATTTTTCATCTCAAGAATTGTATAATGCATAATTTAAAATCAATAAAATATTCAAATACATTTTGGATTTCAATGAGCCTTACCCATATATGCCTTTTCTACATTATAAACAACAAAGACAAATATTTTGTTTGTTTGCAAATACATATATCATAGGTACCTGACACCTAAATTTGATTTAACTTACCCTTAGTATTCATTTCAACTGCCACTTCTTGCCACAATTTTCTTTGTATATCTCTCATGTGATATGATTTATCGGTCATATCCCATAGAGGCTTTTTTTCATAAATTAAAGTAATTAATTTTTCAACATCCATCTCGTTCTGTTACAAATACAAATCGACTATCAATTCGTCATAACAACTGCGAAAAATCCCATTTGTTTCGGATAGATCGCACTTCGCATGTTTTCGTCCGAATTCGTACGAAGCAGTTCGGACGCAGTGTACGAGCATCAATAGGTTTCAATGAAACGGGATGCTTCGCACTTCTTCGTCCGATTTCTGACGAACGCAATTCGGACGAAAACGCATCCAAAGGACGACCGGCCTAAAGGTACTATTGGAAAGAAAATTTTTCAACAATTTAAAGTAACCATGGAAAAAGGGGTTACCAGGTTGTTTCTGAAGTAGTTCAAGTACTAGCTGGGACATTTTCCGAAACACTTAATTTAGAACCATCTATTATAGTAAGTTTGAAAAATGCCCCAGTTACATTGATATCGAAAAATGTTTTTCTATTTACAAATTGTGAATAATGCTGGGCCTATAACGGTTTCTTAATATTGTTCTGAAGCTATTTTCTTGTGGCATTTGTAATAATAATAATAATACAAATTGTATTCAGGTACAAGTTTTTTAAGCCATAAGAAAATTTTGAACATCATCATCTATTGTTAGCACAATTCAAAATAATATTTTTATGTTAAAATAATTGTATAGGTATGTTATGTATTTATAATATTGTAGGTATTTTTGTAAATAAAAAATACTGTAAATATTTCTTATTACATGCATATTTTTTAGATAAATATTTATGCATATTTATGTGCATATTTCATACTTTTTTATTTGCATATTTGGCTAAGTCTACTTATTACGATATCATTTATTTGATTTGATTGATGATATTTCGAAATAGTCTTAATAATAGAGTAGTTAGACACTATTAATAAATATTTTTCTACATTTTAGTTTAAATGGTCAAAACAGCAATCTCCCACTGAATATTTTACTTTATCAAAATTAAACACAACATACATAGAGGACGAAGCATCGCCGTTGTGGATCGGTGACGATAAAAGGTATCTTCCAACATTAGACCAAGAAAATAAAGTAAGTAAAAAAAAATGGATATGGTATTTAAGTTAACTTTTTATATTAAATTTATCATTTTAAAGTAATTACTATTTGAATGGGAATAAGTCACAATTAAATTTTATTGACGTTTCAATTTCCACTTCGGAAATCGTTCTCAAAATACAAACACTAATAAATTAATCACATTTTGTCTTTTGTTACTTGAATACCTCCCTCTAAAAAGATTGCAAACAGCAAAATTACTTTTTTACAGGAAGTGAAGAAAACAATAGAAACTTTCCCTGTTACAATAAAAATATGTTTATATGATGCTTACACATTATTGTTAAAGATTGCTATAATTTTTTTTTATTTTTAAAATGTACTTTAATACTATTAGATAGAATTAATTTTTTTTAATCTAAAAACGTTACACATGCCCATATGTAACGTTTTTACATTCAATCTAACTAATATTAATTATGTACTTGAAACGTTTTACAACAAAACGCAGTTTAGATTAAAGGAGTATTACAGGAAAAATAAATGCACGGTAAAATGTAATATTAAACAAATAGTTTATTAATATAAACAATACAAAAAATGTATGATTTTATTTTATTTTCAATTTTTAAGTGTTTTTTCCTACACAACATTTGGATCTGCACTATCTAACGATTGATAAAAAGTTCTTTTATATGGAGGTAAGTAATCTATAAGCTTTAAAAGATCAGCCATTTTTGAGGCATTAATAGGTAGTTTATTAGGATAAAGGATTGGCAGATCGATAGGGTCAACTATGTTGTACACAGGTAATGAGGCAGTTTGGGATCTCTTTCCTTTGGGTTTCTTTATTATATTATAAACCATCCAGTTCTGCATTGGATTGTGGCATGTTCTTATACGAATGGCAGTTGGTTCGTCGTAAGTAAACTGGATCCATCTTGCTTCAGTAATTTTGATATCGGGATGTTTATAGATCTGCAGTTCAATCGACGACATATCCAAAAATTGTCCTTCCATTTCCAAAATATCAAATGGATTCGATTCTCTTATATTCCTAATCATATTTACAACATCTTGAGGATCATGAAGGGTTGCCTTTTTCTTAAACTTTTCAATAATGGCGAAATCGCGGTCACATGGAAGAAAACTGTGTCCAGTGACTAGAAATTTCTGATTGACCTCTGTGAAATAACGCAATAAAACTAGGTAATGATACAAAGCTGCCATCCGCCAATTATTGTTCTGTCCTACACACCTATCAGACCACACTATAAGTTTTCTCTCCTGATGTAGACCCAGGATTTCAAAATAATTTTGAATGTAGCGAAATAGTGCGGAGGAAATTTCCCCTGATCCCCGTTTTCCTACACTTTCATGCCAAACACACATTGTTGCTCTATTCTTCCCCATATTATGAATACAAAAGTTATAATTAGAATATTGTCTCAAGTAATAGACATCTGAATGGCTTAGATTAGGAGTAAAAAGGAGTTCTCTGCGTTGCAAATCAACGCAGAGAACAACCAAATTATCATTTTCAATAGCTGCCTGTGTATCTTCTACCAACGTTTTATAAGCCTTTTCTGCTTTTCTGTGGTGCAGTTCTGACTGAAATTGTAGCTGCTTTAACTCTTCATTATTCTGGCTTGCAACCATTTGTATATAAAATTTGTCACAAACTTTACATGTATCAGATCTGGGAACACCAAATCCTAAGTTAAATTTGTCGTGAAAAATTGACCTATACAAGTGTAATTTCACCCTTGTGGTAGGATACTTATTTCTAAATAATTGGTACATTCTAGTTATGGATAGGTCTGGAGCAAGACATTTCTTTTTATTTGAGTTTCTCGAATAATGGTTTTCTTGGCAAGGAAAAGAAGAAATATGCGTAATGACAAGCTCTTGATCTGCATCAGGAATACTTCGTGGTCCATTGTTATGTTTACCACGATCATCGTCGATGCTGAGACCTTGCTTAACTTTACTTGCAAGAAGCTGCAATCTCCGCCGAGTTAAATTCAAAAAAGATATAATTTGTTTTTGACATACCTGCTGCCGTTGTGAAGCAACAATATTTACTGGAAGTGAATACTTGATAGTACATTGGCGTTTGGATATATCTTCAGGCACAATCCTTCGTTTAGTTTCTCTTAACTCCATACACTCTGCAAGGAATCGCTGCTGCTCATTATAAGAATACTGGTAAAAACGATTAAATATATCAACTTTTACTTCCAAATTCTGGTTAAGCACGGAACAACCATCATAGTTGCAAGTTAACGAACAAGTTGAATCCTAAAATAGACGTGCTGTAATACACAATAAAAACGCAGGAAAAACATTTAAGGTTAGAGTATACACATGTAACGTTTTTAGACTCACCTCATTTGGACACTGTTTTTCGGCTTTTACAATATTTTTGTGGCCCATATAACTTTTTCCACTATCCTTTAACCTTTTATTCTTTACCTGCTGCCATTGGTCATAGTGTATTTTTCGTCTTTTACCCTTCTTTGACTTTTTTAAAACACTACACATTGGAGAAATAGACGTTGTTTCTGCCATGTTTCTTACATATGTAACCTTTTTAGACTGACCTCAAATTTCAGTACTAAAAATTATAATAGTTTAATTCAACTAGCGACTAAAGAGCGACACCACTGTCTATTAAACTGCATAAGTAACCATTTTACATTAAAACATCACTTTATGAAAAATTGTCAGTTGCAACGTTTTTAGAGGGACCTCTTCACTTGTTAAACAATTTTTGGTAAATCGATGTTTTCGATCGAGGGGTGGCAAATATTCTTGCATCTTTTCTGCGATCTCAAAGTTGACATTCTCAGGAAAATTCAGCTTGTTCGATTAGTCCCATTTTCGTCTCTGACCACTGCTACTGGAGTATTCTTTTCTCGTATATTTAGGTACATACCAATCGTTGTGAAACAATACAAACGTATTGTTTCCTCTATATTTTTCTTTTATATTTAGGTATATACCAATCTTTGCAACATCACAATTTGACGAACCATCGTCGGCTTAGTGACATAAAAATGTATCTCAAAAATGACTACTTTTCAGGAGAGCATATTTAAGGTTTTTAAAAAGATCATTTGCATTTTGTAATGACCTGTAGTTTATTCTCAACTTTTTTGTTCCGAATTATTAATCATAGGAATGTTTTCATTGCCGTAATACAATCAATCAAACGCAACAATGAATACATTGTGTTCTCAAAATATCAACAATTAGATAAAGTAGCGGAGATACATTTTTGTGTCCCTACCTGAAAAGTCTATTGAGACTTACGTGGGTACCATTTAATTTTAGAAAAGCTTAATCTTAATCCTATTAGTCATTTGTATTGGAGTGTTATCGATAAATTTCGAGAGATGAACAAACTGAGTGGCAAGTATAATAAATAAAAGTACAATAGATTAAAATTTATTAATCTCTACCTGGTCCGAAAACTTAACCACGCCATTTAAATACACATGATTTTTAATAGGATTCAGACTAAGCTTTTCTAAAATGAAATGGTACCTACTTGTAATTTGTTGCTATAGCATTATAACCAATATTATAATATATAACAATTTACTAATAATAAAATAAAACTAATAATCATAATTCATTTTATAACTCTTTACTGTTCTGACGATATTTTCTTGTGGCATTAAATACTATTTAAAAGTCTCGATGGAAATAACCACAATATTATTTATTAAAAAAAGAAACTTTATAAAATGTTTAGATAACGATTTCTGAATTAGATGGAGAAACGTCAATAAAGCTTTTTTTAAGAAATAGATTGTGGTTATTTCCATTGAGACTTTTATACCATTATTTAAATCATAAAATATTTTTTTTTAATTAAACATAAATTTTAAAAACATTTTCAAACAATAATTTTAATTATGTTAATCACTTTGCACATCTGATTGATTGTCCATATTGTTGGTGACCAACGACTTAAAGAAGAGATGATACTGGGAAGGAATAATGCCTTTATTACACAACTCTTGTTCATATCCTGATCCATTAGATTCATTGGTAGAATATGCGAGGCACTATTTGAATGTATCAGTTATGATAAGAACGGTAAATTATGAATGTGTTTAATCAGAATCGACATCAAAAAATATATTCTCACTTTGTTCATACCCTGATAAATTAGGTTCACTGGTAGAAACATGAGAGGCACTATCTGAATATGTCACTTGTTGTGATGAAAGCGCTAAATTATGACTATGCGTTTCATCATCTCGTACCGATTTGTTAAGAGCTAACAAAACTAACTTCTTCCCTCTTGAATCCATTATTGTGTAATAATAAAATTATAAAACAGTATTATAACGATAATTATAACAATTTCTACTATAATTAACTTAAAACTGATTCACGTGTTTATAACGTCTTCACAGTTGTAACAGAACTGGAAAGGCAACGGACCACCCTGATAAATATAATAAACAAGTTATAAACTGATTCACGTGTTTCACAGATATAACAAAACTACAAATACAACAGGCCACCCTGCTAAACATAATCAACAAATTATCAAATCCACAGATACTACCTGCAACCACTATTCAGTGCAATAAAATTTATGCCACAAAAAGGTAACTCAATATCAGCCTATTTATAGTACGAAAACGTAGTATCACAGAAATGTAACAGCACTTACATTTCTGTGACACTAGAAGATTGTTAAAAAATGTAGTTACGAAAACTCCTTATTGGGGTTTTGAGTGCTCGGAGAGATACAATTTTTTGTCGGTCAATAGAACTCACTAAGGTAAGTTCAATGGTGTAAATATGTCAAAACGTGAAAAAATGTAGTTACATTTTTGTGCCACTAAGCCGACGTGATAGCTTGGTTAACGTTAGTCCTTAATAGATCCCAATAGATTATTTTAAAGTACAAAAAATAAGATTTTTTTTTATTTAGTAATGTATACACCTAAATATACAACAAAAAGGTTATAGTGAGAAATTGAAAAAATAACCGCAAAGTTAGCAAACAT